GCTTTGTCGCTATGAGTGCCTCAAACTGGCAAACGCGACCCGAGTCTTCGACATTTGTACATCACCTGCAACACTACAGTGGGAACTAATAGAGCCTGTACGATAAGTGAAACGCTCCACAACTTCGAGTGCCTCCTGTAGGATTGCAAGCGGCGTGTCCACTGACTGCATGTCCAGGTGTACGACCGCACATCTAGTGGGTAAAAAGCGCGCAGGTTGACTTGGGTCGGTCAGTCCAGAAACACTTGCGTCTTTTCTCCTCCTCAAAGGACGACTTCGTCTGCAACTTCGAGATCGACAAGGTTTTCGTCAGCAGCTGTTTAGACGACGGTATGAACTGTAACGGCTCCCTTTAACTTCCCACCACTTCGTGTAGTCTGATCAGTAGACGCGCTAAGGAAAGCTGCTAAAAGACCAACACACCAGTGATTCGTTTTCCTGTAGAAACAAAAGTATCATGTGCCTATGCATTTATCGAGAATTGGCTTGCTTATTCACTTCGCTTCGTCTGAGGTTAACGATGCCCATAAAAGGTGTAAAATGGTTATCCGAAGGTTTACCAAAGAAAATTATTGGAACTAGCTGGGAATTTTCGTGCAAGTTGTCTCCCGGATAACCACGCAAGAAACATCTCTGAGGAGGTTCCTTATGAGAAACAAAAGGCTGATCGGATGGGGAACACCAGGAGGGACACGAAAAAGCCAGAAATTGTAAGCTACACATATGGACACATACCCTTCATAAACTTTTCTGTTTTCGAGGATTGAAGGCGTCGAAATATGACCATGAAGATCTGACGTAGGAAAGGTTCGAGGGTGGGCTTTGGTACCGCCAAAACCAGAGCCCCCAACAAAGCGAAAGCATGCGTGTCATGAAGGGAGGATTGGATAAGTCGTTGATACACACCAAGCATCGCAGAAAGCTGAAACAGGCCGAATAAAGGAAGGTGATGATGATCATAATAACAGGCAAATGACCACAACCTTGTATTAGGCCCTGTTGGCTACTTCCTCCCATCACCAGTAATGCCATACTCATCATGATGGGACATACCACAAGGACAAACAAGGCAGAACAGATATGAGAATTAACTTTGTGGGTGCACAAAACCCCTCTTGATTGCATAATGGTATATGGAATGATGGGAGCCAGTGGTCAAATTAGTGAAGTGGGGAAAATAGATCAAAGCCTAAAGCATGGAGGTTTTTACACTAAAGTCACACTCATAAAAACTGGTGCCTTTTATCAGCGACGATCCAATGAGTCTTCTTTCCCCTCAGCAGAGATGAAATACCGTTGTGGTCCCCATTGGATCACAACGACATATAGGTACACTACAGCCCGTGCCGGTGCTCTGTCGAGTAAAGCGAATGGTGATTTCAACCAAACACCAGTGTAGCTGTCCGTGTGAATAGGAGATAGGCAATCGGTAAAGTTACCGAAACAAAAAACATTGCCCACTGACCAGAATATCTGGGTTAACGCTCCAGTTGAAACGGATTCTAGGATAATCGGCGTGAATGTGGATGAATACATTGTGCTCGCGTTAATGTTCATTAAGCTGTAACACCCTTCCGGTATCCAGCTGCCATGAGACCCGAAGGAAGCACGAGAGCTCGGATACGGCCAGGTCGCCCAACCCTAGACAGAGGAAGTCGAGAGGCAGAGGTCGGATTCGAACCACGGACCTTTCGATCAGTAAATTTGCGTTCTAAACACTTAGGCATCTCGTCCGTGTTTCTCTCTCTCTCTCTCTCTCGTGGTACTCTTACTGAGAAGGGATCAAGGAAATATCACACTGAGTTTCATTTCAGATGGAAGCACAAGAGCTGATATATAAAACGTCCTATTGGAAGTTACGAAAATTACTATATTCAGGTGTGATTCGTGAGGGTTGAATGAGGCATTCTAGATTGGACAAGTAAAAACAAACCGATTCTCCCGCCCTCTCCCATTTTAACGAGCATTTCCCGTGTAGGTAGTTCGTAAAAAGACATTGACCTCTGATTTGTGGAAGGATCAAGAATTCAGGGTTGTAGCTATCTACCCTGACACTCTAAAAGTGCTGTTGTAAATTGGATGTTCACAGCTGGTTGTCTTATCACGAAATGTGGGCAACATGTTCAGGCTTGTTGATACTGATTCAGATATTGCATTAGCGGAATTCGATCGAAAGACCCGGTAAATTCTAGGGAAATCTAAGTTCAACAATTTCAAAATCATGCTTTTTCGCAAGTGTACAAACAGTATTATTTGTCATTGTTCACATGTATTATAGGATGTTCAATTGAACAATACTATACTATATACTACTACCATATATAATATATGTACTATATATGTATACTATATATACATACTATATACCAATACTATGAAAGAAAAGAAAGCGTTCAGCTGTAGCACCCTTCCGGTGCCAAACTGCCATGCCGCCCGAAGGAAGCACGAGGGCTGGGATACTGCCAAGTTGCCCAAGCCTAGACAGGGGAAGCCGAGTGGCGGAGGTCGGATTCGAACCACGGACCTTCCAGTCAATAAATTCACGCTCTAACCACTTGGGCCGTCTCGCCCCCATACTAATACTATAATATGCGACTACCATACTATACTTGTACGACACTATAGACCAACATCTGATTAGGTTTGAATTAGTCGGCGTCGATGGATGTTTGACTGCTGAAAGTCACCGACTGTTTCAAATTTAATGGCACCAAAAACAAACGGGTATCGCTGACTGGGCGATCGACGTCCGAGTTCGCGTCTAACTGTGGGTGGCGAAAATCGATTGGATGACGAGTGGTAAAATGCTTACGGTTGACGGCCTATACTGCTGCCAACTTATGAAGCGCATGTTGTGCAGGATCTAGGAACGCTATGAATAAGAGCGATGTTATGGTAGGACACTCAGGATGATGGCATCAACATCAATAGGGCTTTTAAAGACGGAACAACCTACTCATAAGGAAGCCGTGACAACCTACAATCGATCTTGACCTTCTCGGAGTTTATCACGTGGGTACAGTTCCCGAGTTTCCCTCGACCCTATGGTTTACTTGAAGCCGAGTTGTGCGCCACAATGTAAACTAACTTGGTTTTAACGAGATCCAATTATATCCTATCTGAATCTCAACGGTTGTGATATTCTACAAGAACATAAGGTAGATGGAATTCGGGGATTAAGCTTACCTGAAGAACACCCGGACCACTAGTGGGCTGTTGAAGAGACTTAAAACAAGGTATTACGCCACCGAGTCGGACAACCTCCAGGTGGGGCCAACACGGGCATCCGCATGCAGCACAACAAAGCTCCGATTAGTAACTGAACTAATAATTTACGTACATCGATTTGATACCTAAATACTGCAGGACTATTCCCTTGTGAGTTATCTGCTTAACTGACTGAGCAAACGGGACTGTTTCGGTGTCATCGAAACAGAGGTTTTAGACTTTCAGCGGCAACACTTAGGCAAGCTTTCAAAGAAGCAACAGATCTACTCTAACGTATCACTCCGAGGCTGGTATATATATATATATATATATATATATATATATATATATATAACGTATATAAAGTATATACGTGTACCGCGATATTTGGAATATCGTAGCAACTGGAACATGAGGCGGCCTGGTGCAGCACATTCAGTTGCCTGGAAACATCAAAACCGTGAGATTCAGCTGGGTTCCAGGTCTCTCGAAAAACCAAATTAGTTTGCAAATGATTGTATATTCGCTAAATGCTTGTTTATTTAACACATAACAGTCCAGAATAGATTGCACTTCACTAAATTCCTAAGGGCATTCAAACTTGCCTGCTAACCCATCTAATTGCTCAGGAACCATGTTGAATTCACAGCGATTGGGCTGATAAAACTCAGAAAGAGACCTTCTCCGACAGGTATCGTCCGTGAGACTGAGTCAAGGTGATCTACCTTTGGAGATCGATTAATACGACAACCACTAAGATCTAAAGTATCCACTGTTCCCGAGACCCAGTGATTCAACAGCTGAACTAGTGTTATTTTTGCAAAATATCCGGTTGCCTACCTTGTTGGATGAGAGTACTTCCTCGATGTCGTGTAGCACGTACGATTGCATGAGTCGGGCCAAAGCAGGCACATTACCTCGCTGGTCCCACAGAGTTGGGACAAGCAGTCGGGGCAATAAGGCAGAATACGGTGGCGAAGGCCTAGTTCGACTTTGTCCCTGACTGCCAGACTGAGATCCGTTGACCATAGACTGGGACTTGCACACGGCTGTGACCGTATCAGACATGGGGTATTGTTCTAGCATAACGCTGAGCAACTGGAAGACGTATGGCACGAATTCTGAAAGACAATTTTCGAAATGGGGACAGTGAGGTAGGAGATTATGCTGATGCACGTTTAAAAGTGATGATTCTCATCAGCAAGCGGTTCGGCTCACCGGAAATATCGTTTTGCAGTATGTCTTGAAACACGGGGAAAAAGGCGGATTCAAAGTGTAAAACCGCGCTCGGGTCGGCAGCGCAAGTTGTTCGAATGCATAAACAAATGGTTTCGAACAAGAAATGATTGAAATTCGGTTTGCTCGGATTCTGTGTGGAGGGAAGAAAGCAGAGTACAAGAAAAGAGGGATGTGGCAATGAAAACATGCGAACACTCAACACAAGAGAAGACAAGCAAGATACGAAAGTTAAATAGCAATTGCATCGTGAGGATACGGAGTTGTGTGCTTACGACAAGCGATGAGCATCAAATTCAGGAATGGTGCGTCCGGCTAAAAATGTTACGCTAAGTTTGAACTACTGACAAGTAGAAAGTAGGCTGAACGAGACCGGAATGCCATTCACATTTCATGGTGTGAAAGCCGACCTGCTTGCCAAGCTCCACAATTTGCGTTCAAGGGATAGCATACCCCACATCGATACACTGTGTTCGACGTAGTTTGCACCAAACTTATCCCTGGACATCGACCAAACGACTGTCGTGCTTGGTAAAAAAAACAAGAACTATGATCAATTCCAGCTGAGACAATACTAGAAAACCCCAAAAGATTACTCCTTCCCGATTGTTCAGTGTCTAAAACCAGCGATCGCTGGAATGTAACACAAGGTAGACGAGAAGGGATGGAACGACCATTCTTCTTCGGAAGAGTAAACAGGATACTTTAAAGACAAACAGGAAAATGGGTGTCCTCACTGAAGTCTCATTATTTCGCTCACCTTCGCGACTTGAACAAGTATGGGTAGTAGAGTCGACACCAGAGAGTTCATAGAGGCCAAGCAGCGTTCCTGAAGGCAACAGCATGCCCGCATCAAAGCTAGATAGGAGGAAAATATTCAAAAAAACGATGGAGATATACGCGGAGGATGTCATATAAATCGGAGAAAGGGAGAACAGCTCGGAAGCCGGGCAAAGAAAGTTAAATCACGTGACGTTTCGGATCCACGTAATAAGAAAACAGTGAGGCAGTACCGCAGAATAAGCCATCAAGCCCTAGCTGGGATGACCGAGGAGGCCAAATATTTGTTTAACCGAGAATGAAATGGCTTCAAAAAGTCAATGCAAACGTGTCGCTAAAAGAATTAAAACCACGGTGTGAGTTATACGTTGTGAGGGTGGATTATAGAGTAACGAACATGCATTGCCAGGCAGCAGTTAAGGCTGTGTGACGAGAGTGTTTGACCATCGACGTATTCGGAGCATTTCCCGAGTCTGGTGGGAACCCCCGATCGGCAATCCTGAAGTAAGTCGAACGGTATTCTGGAGAAATAACCCACCCGCAATAGATAAACTGATCACACTGCATAGGTTGCACTGGCTTGGCCACGTGTTGCGTATGCCAGTCGACCGACTTCCTCGAAGGGCTCTTTTCGCACAACCACCTGAAGGGTGGAAGAGAGCCAGAAGCGGTCATACAATGACTTCGCAGAAAAGTGTGAAAGCCGTTACCAGCAAACTCAGCTGCACTGGTCATTGCCGTCTTCCTGGATGGGCACCCAGAGACGGTCCACATCAATGGTTAGAGACATTATCAGACATGGCCCAGTCGCACCCTCAATGGCGCTCACGCATCAAAGCTATTGCCTTCAATGCATAGCTCCCTTCCCAATCCCCCCACTTGACAGCCTACTGACAGTGCTGGATTTATGCACCAATTTATCATCCCCCGCCTGCAATGCGCAGCTACCTACCCCCTCCAAATCGTCGGTGAACGAAACCACGGCAGCTACAACCACTGTACGAGTACACGGTTATTACAGCTGACAATGATGATGATGATGACGTGACGAAAGTAATTCATAAAAGTCTAATTGAAGCGAGAAACAGAGAAGTAGGGTTTGCCACCCTGTTCGTTGATGAGAATTCTCGGGCCGATAGGCACGTGCAATTTCTCTCCAAAACCACATCATGGGTACGGACGCACTTCTAGTCCAAAAAAATCACATTTATGCAAAAAGGTACGTCAGGAGGAACTCAGTTTAGCCCAAATTAACTGTGCGCACTAAAATTCCTTTATAGAAAGTGGAACGGGCAGAGGGAATTAATAACATAATTGGTTGGTTCCGGGGAGATCATACCGCGAATTATTCTATTTGTTTCTTGACCGCCTTGATTCTCTCACATCAAACCGGGTGGATGGTGCTGGCTACGCTGAAACGAATTGTATCCACCTTAGATCATCCACAAGATCAAGCATTAGCGTGCTGTCATCTTCCCAAGAAGAGCGACCACAATTCAGCACACCAATTATCCTTTCTCTCTTGAAACGGACCACCGTATAAACTAAGCTTACGTAAGGTAAACCAACTATGAAACGGCGGTCAATTTAGGCTGGAAATGGCGCAAACCCAGAACCAAAAATCACGACTGTATGAATCTCCACGGTTTTCCATGACCCGATGTAACGATGTATACTACTGATAAAACATGCGAGTAGTGTCTGGTCAAGTGCGTCCGATGGAAGGTTGATATAGAACTTATTGAACCTCTTCGTTATTGTTTAACATCCAACAGACATCCAGAAAAGTTAAAAACAGGTCGCTTGAGAATGCCAACTTTATAAAAGCTGCGAGCAAATTAATTTTTCACTTTCGCGTCTCATAGCTTGCAGCCACTTAGTCCGCACTCAAAAGCACTCTTCTTTTCAGTTGGTACCGCGATTAGGACAGACGCCCACAGATCCATAGACAGATGGAAAATGGCATAATCGAGGGAACCGACAATGCTTATGACTCCACAGTAGTTTTGGTGAAGAGGGCGGCGGACGGGAATACCGATTTTACTAGGATCTTCGGGCTTTGGATGGATTGACCCTTAATGGGATTTTAACCGTCCATTCTGTCGCGGAAATCTGTTATTCGCTCTGGTATTCCAACTACTTCACAGGGTTTGATTTCCGTTCCGGATAATGGAAACAAGCCATCAAATCAGAGGACCGGGAAAACAGCGTTAAACGTTGGCAACATCCAGTATCAATTTAGAAGGATGCCGTTTGGCTTGTCAGTAGCACCATTCACTCGCCGGTGCCTGATGCCAAATGAAAGGAAGAGCGCCTTCAAGTGCAGATTTGGTTAACACGAATTAAGCGGTTGCAAACTATGAGGCACAAAAGTAAAAATCTCAGCAGCACAGTTTTCGAAAAGCGAGGATTCTCAAGCGTCCTCTTTCCTGACACTACTCGCATGTTGTAACCGTAGTACACACCGGTAATACAGGGAACACTGTGCCCCATGCCTCGAAGGCACACCACAACTGAAAAACTTCGAGCCGTCCAACTGCCCCCTCAATACTCCCCCCAACCGACCAGTGACCGGCCAGATCACGTCTTAGTCCCTAATCTAAGCGTGCCGTCTGAAACACTTTGCTATGACTACATGACACTTTGGAGTTGTATAAAACTTCACTAGGTCGATTGTTAGTCATCAACCGTGTGATCAGCGTTTTGGACCGGCTGTTGAAAGAAGAAGATAGGAAGACGGCTTGTCGGCCACGGTACCAAATTGATCACGGGGCATCGTTGGGTAGTTACTGTTGGGGGGAGGGGGAGAACTATGATTCAGAAAATTGTAAAACTATAGGTAGAAACCTGTTCACTTTCATCTGACTCACCTCGCACCACATAGACATTCTCGGTCGAGTCTGGAATGAGAAGAACTGCCAACAAACGATCTATCAGGAGTTGGGGGTCCGCAATCTGGTCTTTGGTGATCCTGTAAACAAAAAGTGAGTCAAGATGGCCAGAGAGGGGGGAAAACAGGATGACTTTTTGACCGGATATGGAGATAATAGGCGTGTTTGGAAGATCAAAATCGGATTGGAGCGAAAGCACCACAAACAACGAGATAAGACACAATTTGGATATCTATGAAACAACTTGAGGCAGCAGTTGCAAGCCTTCACAGAGCGAATTAGGCATTTCAATGACTTTCGATTCCTGAGCACACACACACACACAAACTCAGGACAATCTGTGACACCATGGTCTAATGTGAACTTATTCCGCTCGACTGTGATGTCGAACCCCATGTTATATTTTATTAACGTGAATCACGTCATCGATCAAAGTAAAATTTTGAGCTTCGACTAATCACACTGGGCTGGCTTAGCCACGCGCTGCATATGCCAGTCGACCGACTTCCTCGATGGGCACTTTTCACACAACCACGTGAATGGTGGAAACGAGCCAGAGGCGGTCAAACAATGACTTGGCATCAAAATATAAAAGCAAACTCAGCTGCGCTGGTCGTTGCCGTCTTCCGGGATGGGGACAACAAGACGGGTTAGAGACATTGTCAGACATTGCCCAGTCGCGCCCTCGATAGTGCTCATGCATCCAAGCTATTGCCTTCAATACATCGCTCCCTTCCCAACCTCCCACTCGATAGTTTACTGACAGTGCCATATTTACGCACCAATTAATCATATCCCCCTCCAATGTGCAGCTACCTCCCCCACCTCACCCCAAATCACTGGCGAACAAAACGGTGGCAGCTACAAATACTGAACGACAAGCCCGCGGTTCTTGCAGCTGAGAATGATGACATTTAACATCATTCTGGACACTATATTCGGTGTGGGCCAATCGAGCTTCTAAAATGAGTGATATGATAGCAAATAATAAAAAAACAGTTCAGCCGTAACACCCTTCCCGTGCATGCGGGCCGAGATAATGATGGGTTGCCCAAGCCTAGATGAGAGCAGTCAAGATGCCATTGTTAGGTTCGAGCTAATTCGAACTCGAGTGGTATGATGAGAGGCAGTGATCGCGTTGCGGTACGAACAAACTGCTGCTGGCTTGGATTTCCACACACCAGTACCAATAACGCGGAATGCGGGAAGTGGACGCGGACCTGAGAGTGGCTGCTGAAAACGGAAGGTCTTGGGAGCTCACAGTGATTCAAACCCTATTCGAGGTGGACAGTTCAGCAATGAACCATCACATCAACAACTCACGGAGACGACCACCCGTGTTTAAATCACAATCAAATTAAGAGGTCTGGGAAAGACCCAAACTCTGCCTCTCGACTTCCCCTATCTAGGCTTGGGCAATCTGGCAGTATACCAGCCCTCGTGCAACCTTCGGGTGGCATGGCAGTTAGGCACTGAAAGGGTGCTATGGCTGAATGATTCTCTAAATTATGACTTGTTATCTGTTGTAACGGGACATGAGAGATTAGAGGCAAATGGGGTAACACAACCTACATCTACCGCGGAACAGACGTAACGAAACACAGGGGAGTATACCAGGCTATGCGCTAGCTAGATAAGGATGTTTGTTTGTGTAACCGATGAACGCATGTCGAATATAAGTACACGACAGAAGACTCGAACTATTACTGGTAAAGCTTCGGTAAAGTTGAGCATTTCCAATGACGAAAGGCGACTGATACTACGTTGGGATCTCACGCTTCTCTCGCTCGGCAAAATGCTTCTCAACGAGCACAATGTACCTGTAGTGGGTTCTGGTCTCCGTGCGACTACTCCTAAAAGCGGGCACCACGGATAACGCGCACAGTGGCACACTGTTTGGGGGGTTTTCTCTTCTCTACTGACGTAAATGGAGGGGACTAGAGCGTCCCGTTCGTTTGCTGTGAGACAATCTTTGATGATGCATCCTTGCGAGAGACAACTGTGGCTGATTTGCCAGCTATAAAAGGTAGAAGAAAATCTATACGGACACCGCATTCCGTTTGAGACTGAGTGCGTGACTGCTCCATTCGTGTTTCTAACCGGTTCGCTCGACTAACTTATCAGATGAGACAGAGACGTCTAGGCAATTTTATGGCGGAGCAAACTCACAGAGGATCTACCAACGTCCCAGGTCGTTTCATGGCTAGCAACTTGTCAATCAGTGCTGCCGCGTAGCTGTGTACCACCGGTGCCGTGGCAGTTAGAAGTTGCGGGGACAAATTGATCAACTCCACAAGTGTGGTCAGGGGTAAGAGACCGCGGAACGTGATGGCGTAACGCATGCAATCGGCCTTGATCACCGGAAGATTGTTAACTGCGGTAAAAGAAAGGAAACGAATTTACAACACAAATCAGTACAATGAAACCACCATGAGAATGCTCCCGTCCCAGTGAATGTAATACGAATACAAATACCAGACTCAACACTGGAGTGTACTTTACGGATTTAGTAAGTAAGCCAAGTCCTGGAGAAACCTATTAGTATTACTATTCCAAAAAAACATCAGCCGTTCAGCTGTAACACCTTTTCGATGCTAAGCTGACAGGCTACCCGAAAGAAGAACAAGGGTTGGAATAGCGACAAATACACTCGTTTGTAAATCAACCGGGCTTTCAAGGGAGACTCAAGTGAATCCCTCGTTTTTATGATGTTCTACATCTGAATGTGTTGCACACAGGCCGCCTCGTGTTTCAGTTGGTACGATATTCGATATATCACAGTATATTTTCATAAAGGAAACTACTCACAAGGTTGTGAGGGTTGGAATACTTCAGGTTGCCCAAGTTTAGCCAGGAGCAGTCGAGATGCCAGGGTTATGTTCGAACCACGGAACTTGAGGTCATTAACTGCGCGCCTTATGCAGAGTCATTTTGACCTCTAGGTCACCGAAGTTAGTTGTAACCTAACCGCTTGTGTTTCGAACGATGTCATCTGCGTGTATGACAAGTCAACACGGTTATCATCAGTAGTCGTCTATGCACTATGGCGGTCGGTTTGATCCCAACGGTGTATGGTTGGAAAAGCAACGAGATACGGTTGCTAATCGATAGCAGTGGGAGATGGACCTAGTGGTTAGAGCGCGAATTTACTGACCAGAATGTCCGTGGTTCGAACCCGACCTCTGCCTCTCGACTTGCCCTGTTTAGGCTTGGGCAACCTGACAGTATCCCAGCCATCGTGCTTCCTTCGTGTGGCATGGCAGCTAGGCACCGAAAAGATGCAACAGCTGAACGATTTTTTCCCGATATCAGTGGCGTTCTTCTTGTTAGTTCCTATCCCGATTGTATGGATACAGAGCTGCAAGTGTGAGAACCTTGGAATAACTGAGAGAGCTAGATCCCTTTCCCATCCACTTTTATTGTCTGCTTAATCAAGGTATCAAATAAATGATGGTTGTATGATGGCAAGATTGTCTGCGTTGAAAACAACCGAAACGCTACACCAAAGTGTCTCTGTACGTTGTTGAGGCCGGATCACATCTGCGCTCGTGACTCAGTTGTTGCAGTTGCCCGAAATCAGCGAAACGCCCCACCCTCACTGGAGCACCTCAGCAATAGACGGATAGTGAAGAGATTCGTAATCCGAACAGCTGACATTCAGCGGACGCGCGCAAATCATCATTTTGACCACTGAGCAGTGTGTTTTGGCTTGGCCTTAACTCCCGAGTAGGTAACATCTCGAACCCAGAACAGGGTTTTCACATATGGAGAGCAATGTACGTAATCAAACGAATAAAACGGTAAAATACTCAACAATAGGTCAGATGAGAAGCGTCTGAAAGTAGAGGAAATCTCCACTAACCGTTAGCATTCCTCAGTTCCGGAAGAACGTGCGTTTCGAAGAAAGTTGGAATGTTCACCAGTTCTGTGGATATTGTCACTCCGAGCTGAAATGGATCAGTACACGAGGGGGGGTTACTAAGATGAAAACACACAGAAGCTCAGCTGCACATCAGATAAGCGTGACTATATGAGAGGCCAGTAGGCAACAAACCAATTGTGTCATGTGGAGATTGTTCCACGCCATCTAAGTAGTGCGATTTGGTCGCCCTTGGAGTAGTTGTATGTAAGCAACCAATGCTCAAGATGGTATTTTGTTGAACCCAAGACCCGAAAAGAAAGGGTCGAGAATAGAAGGCGTTGGATTGAGTCATATAAAGGCTTAAAGCGGACCTGTCAAACTGCGAAAGTGCATATAGCAGTCTGCAAGCCTATTTTCCAAGTATACGGTTGTACAATGATGAAATAAAGGAATTTATTAGCTAAAAAGAAATTCACCTCTTCAGTGAGATATCATCATTATTAGTTATCGAAACCGGGTACTTGCCGTACAGAGGTTAGGGCTGCCACAGATTCGTTCACCGATGATTTGGGGAGAAAGGGGTAGTTAGCTGCGCTTTGGGGGCGGGAGCTGATATACTTGATGCGTAAATACAGGGACCGTTGAGAGGGGCGTAATACATTGAAGGCAGTAGCTTGCATGCATGAACACCATTGAGGGCGCGGCTGGGCCATGTCTCTAAACGCTGATGTGTTCTGTCTAGGGTTCCCCATCGGAGTGCACAGCAGTGACCGACGCAGCTGAGGTTTCTGGTAATTGCTTTCAGACTTCGCTGCTCGACCTTCCTATCTCGTTCCCACCATTCGCGTAGTTGTGCAAAAAAGGAGGAAGTCAGTGGACTGGCGCATACGGAGCGCGCGCCCAAACAGCGCTTCCTGTGAAGTGTGATTAGTTCATCTATCGCGGGGAGTTATTTCTTCCGAAAGCCATTGCTGATTTGGTGCTTTCATCAGGCACAGATGATCAAACGCTGAGGTATTTTGGACGTCCTCAGTGCTCACTGGCCGCGTTTCTGACCCTCATGATAATGTGAAGCGCACCGCAGCATTGTAACGTCAACTATTGACGGATAAGCTGATGTCACGCATACAACACATGTGATGCAGGTTCACAAAAGCTACTCTGGCTTTTCCAATCTGGACGAGAATACACTATTTGGTAATATCACCGGGACTAACACAGACCCCCAGGTAAACACATTTGTTTGCTATCTAAATCGGTTCATCCGTAAGCATGAGGCTAGGGTTCGAGCCCACCGAGTCTTGCAGTAACAGTTCGCAGGTGTGAAGCGCATACCGAACCGTGAGTCAGAATCAGCTATAGTGTTCACTGTTATGTGTATTACAGTGGCGTCGGATCCAAGGAAAGCTATGACGTCTGCATGCTCGATACCTGTGGACGAACACATTCCGACCCCACAAGTAAGGAATGAGTGCTTCATAATCGCATCAGTGACGAAGTTGAAAAGGAACGGTGAGACAGGACAGCTTTGCCTGACGCCACTCAACGTAGTGAACTCAGGCGAGAGCTTCCAGTAGACCTTCACAGTCCGCAGCCGTTGGCGTACAGAGCCTAATAGAAGGTCAATAATTTATTGGGTGCAACTTTGCTCCATAGACTGCCATAACGCATGATGGTTCACAGAGTCAAAAATAGCTTTCGAGTTAAAGAGACCATCATTAACGGTTACTGGAAACAGTGTCGCTAATCCAGAATCGTTCGGAGATTGAAAAGGTTATCAATGCGTTCTATTGCAGAACACAACCCAGTGTGGTTCTCACAGATCTGTTTCTCCTTGTGTTCAGTCAACTTTCTAATAACAAGACCAGAGAGTATTTTAGATGCCACAGCTACCTGGCTGATGCCAGGGTGGGTTTCACACAACGTCCGCGTACCCTTTTTGAATATACGGATAACCGTCAACATGCCCCATTCTGCAGGCACTTTTTCTTCGTTGCGTATCGCGCCAATTAAGCTCTGTCCGATGGGTCACCAGGGTCACCAGGTCTTCTTTGAAGAGAGCTGGATACAGACCGTCCGGTCCTGGTGCCTGCCACGTTTCAGTACCGATAGCTCGTACTTTATTTCGTCTTCCGATGGGCAATCAAGGTATACATTCCATTCGCCCGTGTGCATTATCTCCACAGGCTGTGTTGCAGGAGGCCAGCTCAACTGTTCTTCGAAGCGTTTGGTCCATCTTTCCAGTCGATGCTTTAGCGAGTGAACTAATAAGCCATCTTCTTCACTTATCCTTTTACTGAATAGTGCGTCGGCGGTCACGGTCAACTGTTGGGAGATCGCGGAAGGCAGCATCGCTGCTTCCATGAATATGGACATGCTGATCGCCTGGGGGAAACACCTTACTGCCTTCACACTCCTGTTGCAGAGGACAGTACGACTTTACCTCCAGTCCGGCTCGTGCCCCGATTATTCGTAGTGCGGGGTCTCGCTGCTCTTGGTCCGGCTGCTCCCCTTTGGCCTTCCTGGCATGGTTGCACTTTGTGGAACGAAGTTCCAGCCAGTGTAGCCCGCGGGATCATTGCAGCACTGAAGCCCGACCACCACGTCAAGGTGGCAGCTTTAGGTTGGGAATGATGATCGTGCTTCTTTTGGGCCCAGGCCAGGCCCTCGAAGGAGTGTTACAGCTGAAGGATCACTTGTATTCCATTATTCTATGCTTTGGTTTTGTCTTCATCTAAGGCTACGACGTCTCTGAGAGTCCCAACAAAATCCGGTAAGGAATAAGTCTTCAACAAGCTGCCCTATAGAAATGAGTAGTTCGAACCAAACCTCAGCATCTCGGGCGGTCCTATTTATGGTTAGGCAATCTGGGATCATTTTGCGCTTCTCCTCCTGCCCTCCTGTATCCATAAATGTGGACATGCTGGTCGCCTGGAGGAAACACCTTACTGCTTTCACACTCCTGTCGCAGAGGAAAGTACGATCTCACCCCCAGACCGCCTCGTAGCACAGTTACTGACTACTCCCCTCTGGCCTTCCCAGCATGGTTGCACCTTATAGAACGATGTTCCAGACAATGCAGCCCGCGGGATCATTGCACCACGCAAGCCCCACCACCACATCAAGGTGGCAGCTTTAGGTCGGGCTTCAGTAAAATAATAACACCAAGTTTACATTAGTATGTTTAGTGATTTCGAGGGAACTGTGATTACATCCTAAGAACCACGTTAGTGTGGAGCAAAGCACATACCGAGCATCAGATACTGGCAACAAGCTAAAGTCGCCACTTTTCTACTGCTACGAGTTGGATCGACAAAGATTTCTAGAGAAAATATCCCGTCGGATGGCAAACAAACAAGAATCAGTTAGATGAAGATAAACTTGAGTCTATGCCAGGAAACAGGATAAACAAGTGAAACCGGGGGGTGTACCTTTTCTGTCTTGCCACGGGCAGCTACCGAGGTGACCAATAAGAGAGCCGCGTCCTTGGAGGGCCAGGCACTGCCATCGGGACTGTTGGCATACTCGGCAAGGAGGTGCTGAATGTAAGTGGAGAAATTGGCCACCACAGGACCTTCGAACGCCTCGCAAAGAACGTGTACCAAATTACAAGCGGATCGGCGTCGTGTGTGTACATCGGATCCTTCCAAATCTAGTCGCAGATATTCCTCGGGGTTGTCTGCAAACAGCTCCTCATCCAAAGCTACCAATGGGGAAAATAGGCAACTAATCAGTCCAATCGGTGTCATCCAGCCAAAACACTACTGACTCTTGCAAACCTATCGGCAAAAGGATAATCAGTTTAATTACTAGTAAAACAAACGGATTAGAGCCCCGTCAACTCATTCCGCCATTTTACACCGTGTTTAGGTTTGTAAGCGAGATTTCCCCCAAGTAGCTGACAATCTAACATTTGCTTAACTACGAGGTAAACAGTTCATGGTGGGTCTGGTGAGATGGTAAGTAAACGGACTGTACTCACTGCTAAGAAAGAGATCGACGAATTCGATCAGGCTTTCGGGACGTTTCGGTCGGTCTCCGCAGACACAACAAGTATGACTGGGAACTGAACTCGAATTATGGGTGCCCCGAACAGTTGAAGGCTGACGGGGGCGAGATGGCTCAAGTGGCTAGAGCGCGAATTTACTGACCGAAAGGTCCGTAGTTCGAACACGACCTCTGCCTCTCGACTTCCCCTGTGTAGGCTTGGGCAACCTGGTAGTATCCGAGCCCTCGTGTTTCCTTCGGGTAGCATAGCAGCTAGGCACCGGAAGGGTGCTACAGCTGAACGGTTTTTTAAGGCTGACGAAAGCATATTTTCTATTGTGCCATTTTCCCAGAAATGCCGTGTCGCTACGAAAATTGGGTTTCAGGGGTTACAGCTCTAAATGTGATATACATCGATTATTAGACCATATGTAGGTGTAGTCTGAATGAAGAACTGTTTGATTTCGAATCACCAACAGACGAAGATGATCGACAATCACAAAATAAAGAAGTGGACGTCAGTCTACCTCAGAAGGCGCTAAACAAACGGACATCTCTGCGAGATTGGAGCATCAACAAACGCAAAACCACAGGCGATACGATAGGAAACGCAAGTCTGACTTACCTCGGAAGTGCATGTTTGGAAGAATCACTTTTTCACACAAACTTTGCAAAGCCTCCGGACTTTCAAACAAGTGTCTGTGCTGCGGACGAGCAATCACGGAACTGAGAAATTCAATGGCGTTCCCGATAAGCTATAGGATTGGCGAGAGGAGAGGAATCGTACTATAGCACAAACGAGTGAACAGCGTGGTCATCAAATCAGACCTACAGTTGTAGTTCTCAGTAGAGAAACACCTGGAGGACCGATCCCTTCTGGGGGTACTTTATACTACTGTTGTGTTACTACTCTCATGAAATGAAACTGGCTTCTGCAAGAGTTGGTCCCTCCAGAGGCATGAAAATCTGTTTGTCACTCACCATGTCAAACTTGCTTTGTCCGCCCGTATTAACCAGCATTTCCCACACGTCCGTCACGAAACCCGGAAGATAGGGAGCAAACTCTGCTTCATACTTGGAAGCATACAGACTGGTGATGTCGCAAACCTGAGACTTGACCTGTTCCACCAGAGCTGAGCCCTCTGAACCGGTCAAACTTTCCGCGGCCGAGTCCACCAGTTGCACTACACTCGCGTCCAATTGGAGCAGACTGCGGAATATGAGCATCCAGTCTGCAATGTTGTCCTCGAAAAATTCGGGTAAGTCCTGTTGCGGGTGTACGTGTCCCAAGGTGGGAAATAACGCAAAAAATGTATCAGTTAGCTTTGCTAATTTGAGTGGGAAGAGGAAAAGAGGGAGGCATCTATTCAGCATCTAAAACACAACACAGATGACCAATCGGAGCACGGTTAACTGAGGTGAAGAGCATCCCACGTGCTGTATTTCAGAAAATTCAATCCCCACAAACAAGAACACTTCCTACGGGGCTAAAGAAATAATTCCCCAAAGGTACCGCTCCTCCTTGTGTGGAGTAAATTCATCGGATGTCCAACAGCTTCTTTTCATACACCTAACCAAGGTCTTTATCAGAGTATTACGATACGAGATTACAAAAGGTTGGTGGAATCTGGTAGTGTAAAGAACGAGCGGTTGTGATGCTCCCTAAAAACTTCCGAGGAGGGAATCAGCAAATTAAAAAAAAACAGTCATGTGGGGAAGACGTATCATTAGGTTACAAACAGCTGAAACTATTACGGTCTCCATATCAGTGTCGTGTGTTATCTAGCTCTATTTACTAGCTTGAGGAGCTTCAAGCCGCGTTTGAAAAGCGTGGTTCATTCCATAGTCATATCGCAAGACGCAGCCCATCTAGTCATATCAAATCCTACTCAGTAGACCTCCTAGGTATTGCCAAATGGTAGAATAGCATCGTTAACGAAGTCGGTCCGCTTGGCATTAGCTTCTGAATGTCAGCTGAACAAAAGCGTCGAGCCACAAAACCTTTTCGGTGCCTAGTAATCATGCTAGGTAGCGCGAGGCTGAGAGACTGCCAGATTGCCCAAGCCTAGGCAAGAGCAGTCAAGATGCTGAGGTCGGGTTCGAACCACGGACCTTCCGGTCAGTAGGTTCGTCCCCGAATCACTGACCTATTTCGAACTTAGTGTTGATTGGCCTTCCCACTGCCTTGTTTCTTCTTAGAAAGTGTTCTTGTACCGTTCAGACAGGTCTAGTTTATACAGGGGGATTGCATTGCGCAACGTTTGATGTCCTGCCGAAGATAATACATCACCTTCGAGAGCTTACTACACCGTACACATGCTGAATAGCCTACGGACTTTGCTGTCACCAGGCCTTAATTCAGCGAAGTACCCCGATGAATGCCGGCCAACGGTTGCTCCAAAGACAAGGCTTGGAATAGAATGGGTCTTCATGACTTCATGTCAGCTACAACTGTCATTGCTACTTTTGTCATTATCATCATCATGGACAGTACGACATCAGTGCTCAACACTGATGCTTCGCTGCCATACTTTTTGGCATTTTCGAAAGAATCATGAACACAGTGATTCCCAACTCAGTCTAAGAAAGATGATCTGTTTCGAAAGGGTCTCGTTCACAGTACATTCAGCGTGCCTTCTGCAGCTGATTTTACAAACCGACAATAGTGAATATGAAAAGCTGACGGTTAGCGCAAACTGAACATAAGACGCCCTCGTTTTCGGAGTTTAAGTGAATATGTGAAGAATGAATGTAAGAGCTGCAAATTATCGACCGTCTACTAAAACGGAATGAGAGACAAACGTTCCTGGAAGACAAACTCTTCTTCAGACGAAAACGGATATCCAAAGACTCACTTACCTGGCAGTTCAGGCTGAGGAAGATCTTGCAAACCAGAAGGAGACACTGGAATACGGGTACAAGTGGAGGGCCTTCGGTCAGACGCTGTTCCCCAATGACAAGCGCCAGCAAAGACTGAAAGATGGGAACAATCAAGAGTAGGTTTCAGCACGGTGTAGAGCAATGAATGCGCAAACAAATCAAGCACTCTTGCTCACTTTCCAGAGATGTTTCCCACAGGGTACTTATTTTAGAGTAGACAATGAGAGCCAGTGCCGACGACTTCTAGGCTGGAAGACGAGTCAATTTGTTCCCGGCCACTTGTTAAATCATTCACCAATGTGATAAAGTCGTTCACTTGAATGATCAAAACACCTTCATATGATCGGACTGACCTTTGCGAGCCGGGGATCCGAGGCCCGTGACTATCGTTATCTTTTGCGTACTGCTGAAATCGGTTGAACCAATAAACCTCCAGTGGAGAGACGGGGAAACTAGCAGTTGGTGAATCAGCACACTTCATTTCAGGAATGTACCTCTTCTTGAAAACTACCATGGCTCTAGTATGTGCCGTGCATGGTGAGTTATCGCCTCTGGGAATCGTTGTTGCCCGCGTTAAATCCCGGGTGTCGAAAACCTACATTCTAGCCAACTACCATCTGGCAGAAGAGAGTAAAGGAAGTTAAAAAGGCTTGATATTTTCGGAGAAATATTCTTCCACCCACATTACTCTGTCCATGCTCCCTTGGAGATGCTGGTGGCTATAATCTCATACTCATGGCAGTGGCGCTCCCGCTGTCAGTTTCTGTCCAAACTGTCTGGTTGGAAAAAAAACCGTCCAGCTGTAGCACGAATATGAAGCAAGCACGGCAATTCCGATCAACCACCCCGAATTTTTGGCTGTATAGACCTGAGAAACGTTGTGGCGTCTTAGCACCGGTTGCTGAGGGTCACAGAGTAGTTGGAGTTGAATGTAGTCATTCTCGCTCGACGTGATCAGCGGTTCGTCAACAAAGCTGATCTGTGCTAATCGATTGGGGTAGTTGAGTAGTTGCTCTTTACTTACAGTTGAAGGTGAAGGCACTGAGCATCGTCTTTCATAATGCCGGGAGCTGAACGCCGCAACTTGGATACGCCGATCTGAAACCAGCCCGCGTAGTTTCGAGCACGGTTCAAGGAAGATGCTCACGTCCCACTAACACCATGTGTGGCGATTTGGAGCATACAAACCAAAGGTCGTAGAATACTCTGTAGCCTGGACCAAGGCGATCGGAAAAACATGGTACTCATGCTTCGGTAGTGCTGGTATTTGCTTTACGGTTAAATATACTTATTCGCTTTTCACTAACACAACCCGCGACTAACGGACTCATTTGCTTGTGACTAGAAAATTAAGGTACCGAGTACACTCCGCAGTTGCGAAATGATCACGAAGATGATCCGCGGCTTGGTGTTCAGCGGGCAACGTTTGTAAACATTGGATTTCAGCAGATAAAGTGGTGGGCCTGAATTTGAAGAGATGCGGAATTAACGAGTCACAAAGGTGTCACTCGTAACCTGCTGGCAACTCGGAATCCACATGCAAGAACCGAAATCAGTCAGGAAGGAACGTCATTGAACCGAGGATTCATATACAATGGTAAAGTCTGATTCCAATAAGGTTCGCTTTCGACAATGACCAGGCATAAAATAAGGGTCAACATATTCCACCAGGTGGGTACGGAACGCGTGAGATTGGGTTGCAAGATTACATAGTGAAACCTACCTTTGCAAGCTCAGTCATTGGCGCTCCAAACTGACCGATCACTGTCTTCATTTCTCGGAATAGATCATTCCCGGCACACTCATGGCGATACCTGGGAAACAGAGGATTTTGTGAGGGGAAACGGTTTGTTTGATAGACCAGCAGATGGTAGAATAGGATGCTATGAATTTATCCCGAGGTTCTGGCACACTCTCTGTACCTGATATTTTTAATCACAAGAGCAGACGCAACTAAATGATCTGTTTTGAAATCGGGAAAGAACTGTAACTTTGTAGGCAGTTAAATTATGGATACTGCGGACGACGACGTCAAGTCATGACACCGGCACTGGAAATAATTCTAAGTGTGTCTGAAACATTGTGGATGTCCTTCAGGTTGTAAAAGCCTCACTTATGTGTGAAGGTCACAACGAATGGTACACTGAAAGAAATTAGTATACCAGCTGACAGAGAAACTTATGAAATCGTTCAACTCTAAAACCATTTCGGTACCTAACTGTCATGCCACCCTAAGGAAGCACGAGGGCGGGATACTGTCAGGTTGCCCAAGCTTAGACAGGGGAAGTCGAGCAGCAGAGGTCGGGTTCGAACCGCGAACCTTCCTATCAGTAACTTCGCGCCCTAATCACTTAGAAGAAATGTTTCACTGAAGATTCCGCAGTCTATGCCAAAAACAGTATACAGCTGTTTCACCTTTATTGGGAATCATCACGAGCATGCACTTCACAAATCTCCATGAGCCTCGTGTATCTTTTTTGCGGTGCAGGTGTACCTCGCTTACAGCATAAAACTTCCCTTGAAATTTGAAAATCTCATTACAGTACGTATAGATTATGAGAAACGTCTGAGAACTGCTCGGTGTTGCACCCGGACTCAACTACTCTGCTCGATACTTCACTAAATGCGGGCGTGTAAGGGTTGATGCGACCACAAATCTATAAAACGAAGATACCCATCGGGGAATCGTAAGACCCTTCGGTCCAAAGGAAGCACAAGGGATGAGATGACACCAAGTTACCCAAAGCTAAACAAACATATTTGAGAAGCCGGGCTTAGCTTCCAAACAAGGAACTTCTGGTCAGTAATGTTATGCCTTAACCACCGAGCTACCTCGAGCGCGAACGCTTGAGAATTGTTTACAGTTGAGATGGTTCTGGACACAGTTTGGGTGAGGTGGTGTGAGATGGTTCTGCAGCAAAAAATTGTTTTAAAGAAGGAACCAAATATGGGTGAGAACATCGCTAGATTCGTGTCCTTCGTACAGTTACTGTCAGCCGGATATAAAATATAAAATACTAAAACCACCTAATGTGCTGACTGATAATTAGTTTGTACAGGGAACCTAAGAATGCTTGTTTGTAGGTCGTATTAGTGCAACGCAATTCTAAGGAATCGTCGATGTCTGTGAAAGACCTGAACTGGAAGACCTGAGCTGTTAGACTGCTACCAGACATAATGCTCGCTGGAACTACGGTGTAACGTATGCATCAAACTGTTCTTTGAGCAACCAAGCAGCAGACAAGGTTGGCTTTACAAAACACCTAGTGGGAGGTATCCAAAAGGCAACGTACCGCTTAAACAGGGTGTGCGCAGTCTGCAGTACCCCTCGAACCATATTGAGATCTGCACCAAGTTGTACCATGCGTTCGACGAGCTCGGGAATCAGATTTGGCCATTTGTCTGGAAAATCCTCCTGCCAGATTGCTCCGATCGCCTCGGATAACTGCGGTTGCAGAGCACCGGTAACGGAGAGCAAGGCGCCGAGTATTTGATTCCGGACACTGTTTCTGTCGGCCTCGGAGATGCGGTCCAAGGTGCCCAAATCCTAAAATCGACACCGAATACACAAGCAAATGGAGCAAGATATTAATAAGCGCGTGTTCCCATAAAATGGCCGAAATAATGCTGGTTCTATTAGCGCTGGAGCACGTCTAAGATCTCTTCCTATCCTGAATGAATCACGACAAAGACTAACGATAAATCAGACTGTAATATCATCTCTTTTCTGTTAAGAGATCAACGCTAAACTCAAATCAGAATTGCGGGTCCAGGTGAGGTTGCAAGTCAGTCACCAGAGAAATTTTCAGGATGTGCAGCTACTTAGTTTGTTGTCTATATAT